TTGACATGCAGAAACTTTTTAATAAGATGTGATCCCAGTTACTAATTCTGGGAAGTATTTCCTGTGAGGTTTGATTCCTGTTGATGAATTCTCTACCTACCCATATGTCTTCAAGATTTTTACCCAATTTATCTTCCAACAGAGGAAGCATTTCACACACATGTGAAATTTGTTGACAAAATGCAAATTGAAGCAACCATCAGGTTGACAAAAGTTCAAATGACCTGTGTCCTGACATTACTGCTGATCATGAGCCGGGGACATTGGTGTGGGAATGTAAACTAAACTCCTCAGGAGTCTATTTTGCTTGTTATTCATCAAATCCACTGAAAGTTAAAATGAACGGAGCATTCTTACATTGCTAGAGGAAGACTTTTGAGGCTGGAATCTAAAATCCATATTAGAAGTTAAACACAGTCTTCGGTAGTCTGTGACATGAGGGTTGGTGTTGCACCCAGCCATCTACACAGGAAGGTGGTGGCAAAGGCCCCAACCTGTTGTCCATCCACAGAGCTGTTTGCCCAAGGCAGTAAGCAGGACAAAGGGGGAAAGCCTAGGGGAAAGCTTAATGCCACAGAAGTGTTATAACTTGGGCCCCGGTATACAATCCAAGGAGGCAAGAGACCGAAAATTTAGGTGGCAAAGGCTTTATTTCCAGGCCTGGCGACCAGTCTCCGGGAGCCAATTTGGAGACTGTCCCCCAGAGACTGAAGGGAGGACTTTAAAAAGAGGCTGGAGGAAAAGGGGGAGGGGGAGAAACAAAGAAACCTGCAGAGCCATCAAACTTGTTGACCCGAGTCTGGAAACTGTATTGCTGTCCACTTAGCTCTGACAATGTCGGGAGTTCCTGATGTTTCTCAAATTACTCCCATCCTACAGACTGACATTATCTCAGAGTGGCACATCTGCAGCAATATTTGGAGAAGAAAGTGGGGAAGTTAATTATCCCAGGACAGCTCGTCTTCGCTAGTGAGTGCGAAGGGGTCACGAGTTATGAGATGCTGGAACTTAAGTTTTACAAAGATCTGATATCTAACTCATTTGATACATACAGAACAAAAGGAAAGCACCAATCGGGGTTTGGGCCATAGTATTACCCGGTAATTTCTTTAAGCTAAGCAGTTCTTAAAATTGGGACAGGCTCATTTTATGACAGATCATCATCAGGTCAGGGAAGAGGTCACCAGAAACCCAAATTCTTTATGGCCTAGATAGATAGGTGAGGGGAGACGGAGGCAATAAGGCGCCATACAGAACAGAAAACGGCGGTTATGTGTCAAGGTCATGGTAAAGGGTTAAACTCATACGCAAATCTCTCTGCACACAAGCAGGTTACTTTAAACAAATGTAAATTAATAGAGTGGAGAATAGAGGCGCCTAGCAGTGATTAACAACCCTTGTTAGCTTGTTTTAGCACAACTTCTGTAGTTTGTAGAGGGCAACGATGGTTAACATATCAATTAAGTGAGATTCTTGCAATTCTTTACAGAGGAGAGTATTGCTCAACATATCAATTAGGTCACTTAACATATCAGTTAGGGAAAAAGGATAAAACAAACACATTTAGTAAGCCACTTTACAGGTTTGCTATAATACACATATAACGAAGCTATTTTCTTAGAGTACAACAAGAAGTTTCTTTCTTTCTTTCTTTTTTTTTTGGTCTTTTTCGTTTTTATCGGTACCAGGGATCGAACTCACGACCGCCTGCTTACAAGGCAGGTGCTTATGCCGCTGAGCTAAATCCCCAGCCCCAGAAGTTTCTTTCCTGCTCATCATCAGCAGGGCTGCTCTGCTCACCAGGGTCCTGTAGGGCACTGTCTGCACTGTGGACTGAACTACTGGAGCCCCATGGGGCCCAACCTCACAGAGAGCCAGGAATCAAGCAGCTCTGCCCAGCTGCAGGCTGGGTCGGCCCTGCAAGCTGAGCTCCCCTACCCCCAGCCCCCTCCCACTCTCCAGGCAGCTGCTCACTCAATGCCCTTCCTTCCTTCCTGCAGTGCTACCTACACCTCTGCCTCAGTGGGATGCCAGTGTGTCCCATTGCCTGCACAAGAGCAGGAGCCAAGTGACCTCACACACCAAAATACACCAAAGCTCGGGTTGTTTGTGGAGGAGTGAAAAAGCAGACAGTGGTCTGCAGTAATGCTTGCCTCCTGAGGAGAACCAGAAAGGACTTCAGCTTCAACTGTTATTTTCCCCTTTACATTTTAATTAATCTTTCATTTTCTTAAACATCAGAAAGATAAGCAAATGAGGTAGAGAGCCAGTTCCTGTTTTACCTTGCTGATGATAGAGGTGTCATTATTTTTTACTTATTTTCAAATTGTTTCATAATTGAAAATTAGAAACTTAACCCATGAGGAAGCCAAGTACACACCTGTAATCCCAGAGAATTGGGAGGCTAAGGTGAAGGATTTCAAGGGCAATTTAATGAGACCCTTCCTCAAAATACAAAAGGGCAGTAGTAGAGTACCTTTGAGTTCCATCTACAAGTACCACCCCCTAAAAGGGAAAGGTTTGTGCTGCTTCGGCAGCACATATACTAAAATTGGAACGATACAGAGAAGATTAGCATGGCCCCTGCAAATTCGTGAAGCGTTCCATATTTAGAAAAAAAAATGAAAGGTTTTTTTTTTGGCTCACAGTTTTGGGGCGCTAGTCCATAGTCACACAGCCTGCTGCTTTGATGGTACCTTAAGGCCAAGGCCTGTGGCAGAAATAAAGGAGAGAGAACCCCCACCCCGGGCCTGCTGTCTACACAACATATCCGCATACCCAGGAGACTCATGAGACTCTGGCTGCACATGAGGTCCTGGAAGTTATTTGGTGGGACCAGAAGAGGCATGCTGAGGCCAGTGCACCTCTCTTGCCAGCCCAAGATGCCTTCCTGAGAGGAGCCAGTGCTGGCTGAGAACAGGCTACTACACATGAGGGCCTGGCCTCTGTTGCCCTCTCTCCTGCAGTGGCCAAGAGATTGGAAGCAGGGTCGCCGCACTCCCCCCGCCCCCTTAGGTTAGGTAAGTTTCCATTTCCCGTAAAAACCTTAAGTTTCAGTCTCTTGTAACACCCCCCCCCAGCCCTCTTCCGCCCATCAGTAATAAAATGTGCCATTCCTTAAGAAAGTTTAAACTTACAAGGAAATTACAGGATGTCTTCCTAATCTAAACTTGTTTGAAGGGTAATTGCTTGTTTGCAGGATGTGCTTTCCCCCAGAGGATGTTTGCCTAAACTAAACTTGCTTGTTAGCCCAACCCTTACCTGAACCTTGTTCTTCCCAAGAAATTTAATCGCCGTTTTCCTGTTCTGTAGTGCACCACGAACCCACCCCTTCCTTGCATTGTGAGACCAGCAGCTGTTTGCGGTTTTACAAGATAAAAACCCTGCCCTTTAGCTGTCAGGCTGGAACTTGTGCTCCTCTTGCTTCAGCCTCCCAAGTAGCTGGGATTACAAATGTACACCATATCTCAGTGTTCCTTGGCTTCTAGGTTAAAGCTTTAGTCCAGGAGGGGAGCTTAGGGATGGCTACGAGAAGCTAAAAGCAGGCAGGGCTGTGGAAGAGGGGAGCATGTGACAGGCTGAGGAGCAGGATCAAGCAATGTCACTTCCATACCCCAGCGTCAGGCAGCGGGAGGCTGCTGCCTCTTTCAGTGCATTGTGCAGAAGCCAGTGGGGGCCATGCCGGCATTGGACTGGCGTCCTGGTCACTGTGCACAGGGCTGAAGTCTGTGAGCTGCCAGCCCCATCGCTGAGGTGACGTTTCTCATACTCTGCAGGATGCAAGGTCAGGGGCAGAAGTTACAGAATCTGGAAAACAGAGCCACATTTCTGGTTTGGGGGTTCCCATACCCTCACCGTGCTCATAATGAGAAGGATGTGATGGTACCTAGGAAAGTCTGTTCACAGCATGGGAGGCAGGGGACAGACATATCTGTAAGCCATTCTTTCTGGCTCCTGGTTTTCTAGGAGAACTCTCTGTGTGTGTGTGTGTGTGTGTGTTAGTGTGTACTGTGGGTATGGTCCTAGCAAAAGCAATGCTAAAGTATATGTGTGTATGCATACTTTTGTTCTGGCTTGGAAGTTTGTGCCTTTCCAAATGTCATGTTCAAATCTAGCCCCCACTGTGACAGCTTTAGGAGGGGGAAGGGCTGGGGGGATGAGATTGGGTCACATGGCTTCTGTTCCACTGTGGGATTGGTGTCCTTACATGACACTTGCCTGCTAGGTACAGTTGGAGACTTAACTAAATCACTACCGATAAACTCATTATAGAGTTAAGAAGATTGATTTCACTGCTATTATGGAAATATAAACTGGGCATCTTTTTTTTTGTTGTTTGAGTGGGAAGTTTAAAATAATTATCCTTTCCCTTAATTAGGGGCATCTATTACCTAGCCTGAAAACCTACGTTAGCCTAGTATGGTAATCTGCTGGAGTTTAATTTTGGCAGAGTGTGATTTTGGTGACTGTTTGGGTTATGATACAGATATGCCAGAGCCGTGGAGGGTCACCCAGAGACAGGGCTGGTTTGCTCGGTCACCCTACACAGGCAGAGAAGACTCGTGTGGCCTTCAGAGGTGCAGGTGCTTCCAGGAGGGAGGGTCACAGCTGCAGAGGAGCCACCTGCTCTTCCTGCACACAGCCTTTCCCCTGGGAGGACAGGCCAGCAGGCGACCAAGAGCAGGCAGTGGACTAACCCATCCTACCAAGCGTCCTGCGGCCCTACTGTGTTTCTGAGCTGGTGCCCACAGCCTGGTTCCTGTAGCTCGCCAGGCAATGTGTGCGGACCACAGTCGCCTTTTGAACTGCTGTGGCCTATGGTGGTCAGGGACATTTAGGGTGCCCCAGACGCTCTGCCCCAAGACTTCCGGCCTCACCCCACCCCTTTCCCACGATGCCCCGCCCCAGACACCCCGCCCCCGGACAGCCCGCCCTATCCCGTCTTTTTTCCCACGAAATCCCCGCCCCGCGACTCTGCTCCACTCCACGCTCCGCCACAGCTCCTTTCCCACGGGCGCCCCGCCCCCGGCTCCGAGCAGTCGGAGTCGCCGAGTCCCAGCCCCGGCCGGGCAGTAGGTGGGGCGGGCGGGAGGGCCCTGCGGCCGCGTGGGGAGGCGCGGCCCGGGATCGCGGCCGCACGAGGCTCGGGCAGCGCTCCCCACCGTCCCGTGGGTGAGTCCCCTCCGGTCCCCGAGGCCCCGCCGTGGGGCGGGGCGCGGGTGGGGGCGACGCTCTGCTCAACTTTGGCGTAACGGGAGGAGGAGACCGCGCTGTCTGCGCTGTGCGGCAGGGCGGGCAGGGCGCGTCCAGAGCGGCCCCCGACACCGCTCCCGGCCCAGCCTCCACCCGGCCCCCGGAGTCCCGGTATGCTGAGCGGGTGGGCTCCCTCTCCCCGCGACAGTCCCTTGCACCTGGGTCGATTTTATTTTCCCCGAGAACGTTTTAAAAAGCTCAAACGACATCGCTCGCCTCTTCCTGCCGGCCGCGCGCTCCGCGATTGTGAGGAAGTGGACGGGAGCGCTGGCCGGGCGGAGGGGACACTGGGGAAGCCCCGGGCCGGGGCCCCAGCACCGCAGGGGAAGGCGGCGCCGTTCGGACTCGAATCAGCTCAAGTGCAGGATCCCTGATTCCTTCTCCAGCTCTCCTCGCGTCCTGCTGCGCTGGGCATCGCCTTGGGCTTGCGCTCTGCGGTGGGCTTCCAAGGGCTTCTGTGTGCTCGCTGGCCCCGGCAGCTCTGCGCCTTGCTGCAGCACAGGCTGTGTCAGTAAGGGTCGCGGTGGCAAAACTTGGGTGTCGAGGATGCTGTGTGTCTGAGCAGTGCCCACGCATGTTCGCTGGACCTCTGTCCAGTGTCTGTCATCCCATGAAGTGTCACTATGTGTCCATTGCAGAGCAATGCTCTTTGAAACACGTGGTAAAGCCCTCTCCAGGGTGTCATTTTTCCAAGGGCTGGCGTGGCTGTTGGGAATCCGGTGCTGGATCACGGTGTGCCTGGCGTCCCCTGCTTCTGCAAGACCTGCACCTTTGATTTGCGTCCTCTGCTTCTGGGAGGAATTGCTGTCCTTCCCAGACCCGGATCCTACGGATCCTACGGGTTTGTTGGCACTGACGCCGGTGTTCCGGGCAGGCTCTTGACCCCTCCCGGCCTAGGTCGGCCTGATTTGAAAGACCACAGCTTGCGGTGGTGCCAGCTGTTCGTTCAGGGATTGTATACTAGTATATTGGCATACGTTTGGGACCCAGCCCCCACCCCGGGTGTGTGCGTACGTGAATAAGTATTTGCTTCCCCAATTGCTGGCCGGCTGCTAAGAATAGTTTCTCGCTGTTGAGGAGATCAGGGCCGGTCTGCAGAGGTGTTTATGGTGTGGTGCGGGGTCTTGGCTGTTTGCAGCTTAGGAGGCACTTGTCATTGGGGGCTGCTGGAGGGAACAGAGGGGTAAGGACTTGGCCCTGGGTGGATTCTGGCGGGCTGCCAAGTGGGGCCCTGTGAGGGAAGTGGGCACATGTGCTTCCTTCCCTGCCCAGGCGCTGGGAAGATGTCGCTCGCAGCTGGGACGGAATTTTGTGGTGAACCTCACTGGGTGGTGTCTCTGTGGGCTTTGGAGTCCCCAGAGTGTGGTGAGCATCCCCTTCGGGGACAGAGTTAACAGAGAGAAGGAACTCAGGAGCATCAGGAATACCTATTTAACCTAGAAAACATTGTGGAATTGCTTAACATCTATTACAAAGGCACATAGATGTTAAATATGAGTGGTAACAAAATCATGGTCCTGAATCCCTTGCTCCTTTTCTTGTCTCCTTTCCCCTTTCCTCCCTTTCTCTGTTCGTTCCTTTTTTCAGGACTCAGAACTCTCCTGGAAGCCCTTAGTCTCAGGTATCAGAGTGGTTTTCTACCAACATGGGGTGTTAGGAGGGAATTACATCTTGACCAGTATGGGTGTTCATGGAAGATGAATTTTAAGTTTTCAAATTAGAGTGTAGAAAATTTTGGCCACAAGATCTGCCACTTTGAGGGAGATTTTCCTGTATTGTGTTATTTGCTCCTGTGATAAGCAATGAAAAGGAAGAAGTCAACATCTGTACTGTTCATTACTATGGAATGTTGGGCTCAGATTTCTAATATTATTTTTTCCATCTGATACAGGAAGACTTCAAAATAATGCCTGTGTTGCCACATATCCCTGAGATTCCTTTGAATTCCCACTAAAAATGTTCCTTTGGTCTCTAAAGTAGTTTTGTGAGGGCTTTTTTTACCTGCCAAGCTTGTTTTCTGGCTATGTCTTGAAAATTACAGAGAACATAGCTATAATTTATTCCTTGATTGGCAGCTGAGAGCTTTCCCGGACAAAAATAAAGCTGCACTGTGCCAGATGGTTGGCTTTTCTAAAATAAAAACTCTGAAGGGTATGCAAAAAGTCTTCCAGTTAATATATTGGCATTCCCAGAACCCACTAAAGCACTGGCAGCCTTCCAGCCAGCACTAATGAGGGTGCAGGGTGTGCTGAGTCCCCAGGGACAGAGGGCAGGGCTGTGAATCCATGCCCTGATCCATTTGTAATGACAGTGCTTTCGCTTTGCCAGTTCTGCTCCGTACCCCATTCACAGCAGACCCCATCACCTCAGTCACCCTGTTTATTTACTCATTTACTTGACATTGGAAAAATCTCCAGAAGTCAAGGTAAAGGAGCCTGCAGAGGGATCATCCATTCGCATGAGTTCTTCTGTTGCTGTTTTTTTCTTCCTTCCTTCCTTCCTTCCTCCCTTCCTTCCTTCTTTCCTTTCTTCTTTTCGTTCTCTTTTTTTAAATAAAAGGAACAGAATAGTTGGCAAAATTTTTTTTAAATGATGCTTTATCATGTGTTGGAAAAGAGAAGCAGTTATAAAACCCTGTTTGTTGGATGGTGTATGTGCAGTGCAGGTTGGCACCTGCCTGTGGGAAGCTGCCTGAGATGGCACCCATTTCCTGCTTCCGGGTTCTTCCCGGCCTGAACAAGCCCGCCAAATTGTCATATCTGCCCAGTTACCTGTGACGCTAGCCTATCAGCTTGTTAGGCGCGCTTCTCTGTGATTGGATACTGCTTCCCCTTATAAGAGGTTGTTCCTGCCCCCAACGGCGGAAGAGGAACCAACGTTGAGGGTGGCGGACCTTGTTAGGTCCGGTTCGCTGTACGTAATAAAGTTTGAGAGCTGATCCTGCTCGAGTTTGGCCTCCTGTCTTCCGCGGCTCCGGTCATCTGGTGGCCGCCCGTACGGGGAAAAAGGTAAAAGACTCAGCGACGTGCCTCTTCGGCCGGGAGGTGCGATTGCTGTCGCCTGCGGTACGACGGAGGACCTGGCTCAATAACAACGGAAGGCCGCGAGCGCCTCTTCTCTTCACCCTGATCAGCTACGTGAGATACAGCGGTTCCCGGGACAGGTGAGTACTGGGTCACCTGGGTTGGGTGGACGCACCTAACAGATTTTGAGCGCCACACGAGTGGACGCCGGTTTTTTTTTTTTTTTTTTTCTTTTCTTTTCCCTTTGCATCTGTTTTGCTTTCGCTTCGCTAATATAGCCCGACAGGCTTTTGAGCTCGATCGGAATGCTCAGAGGAGCCCGGAGCCACTGCCGATTGTGGGTCTCCGGAGGACCCTCAGGGCTCTAATTCTGATTCGGATTTGGAAGGCTCAGAAGAGGAGGTCGTCTTTGCTAAGCATGGCCCTCCTACACCGTTAAAAGAGGAACTTAGGGCTCGGGAAGATAAAAAGGGGAACCAAACACCACCCTGCCCGAGCTACTCCGCCTTACGGGAGGAGCTTAAGCCCTTCCGCCCTTTGGCAAGTTCGCGACCCATGGTCGCTCCCTTCAGGGCGCCAGGCCCCACTGCACCGCCGTGGCCGGAAGAGGAGTTGCTCCCTGGGCTGCCACCACAACCTATGGCACCGCCCTGGTTAGAGGGAGAGCTACTTCCTGGGTTGCCTTCTGCGCCCCCATCTGGGGAGGGAGGAGGACGTTCCTTCCACCAGAGGGTATGGTCGCGGCTTCCCTTTGAGTGTTCCGGTCTCCATGCATTCCCGGTACAAGTAGGAGGCAGGGGAGGAGGAGGATATTATGAGCCCTTAGAAATTAAACAACTTAAAGCTATCAAGGACGCAGTTTCAGCTTATGGGCCCAATGCGCCATTTACCATGGCGCTTTTAGAGGCATTGGCAGGTCTGCTTTTAACTCCTGGAGATTGGACCCAACTGGCACGCGCCTGCCTCTCCCCCGGATTCTGTGTAGAGCAGGCGGCAGCCAACAGGGAAAATAACCAGAAAAAATGGAACAGGGATATGCTATTAGGGCGAGGAGCCTTTGAGGAAGATCAAACTCAATACCCTCGCCAGGTTTATGAACAAATTAGCCGCTGTGGCCTCCAGGCCTGGAGACGGCTGGCTGGAAAGGGAGAACATACGGGTCACCTTACAAAAATTATACAAGGGCAGGGAGAGCCATTTTCAGACTTTGTGGCCCGCATGCTTGAGGCCGCTAACAGGATTTTTCCAGATGCTGAGGCGGCTCACCCTCTCATAAAACAATTGATTTTTGAACAGTGCACTAAGGAGTGCCGTGATGTCCTAAGAACTAACAAAAATAGGTCCTTAGAAGAGTGGACACGCCTGTGCCGTGAATTGGGTGGCCACGGCCTAACGCCCAAAGGAAGAATATCATTGGCACTCTTTACCATAAATTTTTTAAACCTTAATCACAATAATCATTCCCCTGCCATGGAGCACAATAACCCGTCCCCGGCCGACAAAGGGCTGGTGAGATGGAAAGATGTCCTTACAGGACAATGGATGGGCCCGGATCCAGTGGTTAGTTGGACCCGAGGTGCGGTTTGTGTCTTCCCACAGGAACCAGGCTGCGAACCGCTGTGGGTCCCGGAAAGATTGACGCGAGCAGTAAACTCCCCACCAGTTCCTGATAAAGCACAGGAAGATAAGCCCGCGGACACAAGTCAACTCGACCCTTCTGGGACCAACGCTCAGCGCCCGAGACCATCTACAAACTAAAATGTCTGGTTTGGAGCTTTTTCTATTCTGTGGGTTCCTATTAATCACCCCTGTGATATGCTCAGATTCCACAGAACCACCACAATATCTTTGGGGTCCTTGGCACCACCCGCCCACATTGGCACCTTTTTCGGCGGC